TACAGTTTGACAAAGTGTCTACTGAATCGTCAGTATATTACAGTTTGACGTAGTGTCTACTGGTTTATCAGAACAACAGTTTGACGAAGTGTCTACTGAATTGTATCTTTTATTGAGATGTGCTCTAAGTGACATAAGCTGCGGTAATGTGCTCTATTATAGTTTTAAGAACACATTAGAGGTATTTTTAGTGAAAATAATTGTTCTAAACATATAATACTTATCAAAATATACTTTTTGTGAATGTTGATCAATGACAAAAACTCACAATCAATAAAATGTTGATGAACTGTTGAGGGCTGAGTGACTAGTTGAGAGTACAGTTTATTGAGTACTAGTTCTTAAATGTGTTTAATACAGTGGATTGTCAATACCTCGAACAATATTCTATTATAAGTGATTGTGGAAAATCTAGACATAGTTTAAATCTTTTGTAAAAGTCATCATGCCTAAGGACAAACCATCTAAACGTCTAAGAGAAAAATCAACTGAAACTGAAGATGATCTACAAATGGATGATGACAGAATTAGTGAAATTATGGCAAACCAAGAATATTTAAAGGAAAAGATGGCAGACGTGATAACGAAAGCAGACTTTAAAGACATCATTAGTGAGATAAGTAAAACACTACTTACTCAAGTTCAAACTATCATGCAATCTGCATTGTCAAATATTAAATCAGAATTACAATCTCAAATAAGTAAATTGGCTGAAGAAATTAAAAAATGATGTGTCTTGTCTATCAAGTGAATTAAATGCATGCAAAATAATGTCAACAGAATCAATGCGTATTGTCCCAGAAGATGATGAGAACTTAATTAAAACTTTTAGTGAACTTGTGTGGAAAATTTCTGATGAATCTGTACGACTATCCGAAAATGACATTATTGCAATACATAGGATCCCCATCAGAGACAAATCTAAACCAAAACCGGTAATAGTTAAACTGAAAAACAGTGAACTCAAAAACAAAATTATGCGGTGTAGAGGATCATTCTTTAAGAATAAATATCCAAAGACTAGGACCAGGTTTTTCTTTACCAACAGCCACACTTACATATACTGTGGAATGATCCGCAACTGATTTGGTAATAGACCAAATTCAATCTGTGCTCAAAGTCATGGACAAGATTCGTCAGAAAAGTTATGAATTTGAAAAATGAGTACGAAATGGAAATGTTGGATTATAAAATAGATTTAAGTGAAATTGATCAAGCTTTAAAAACGTTAAAAATTAATAAATCTCCTGGAAATGGCGGCTTAACCATTGAATTTTTCAGAAATTTTTGGTCTCAAATATATCCATTTGTTCTAAATTCTATCAATTAAAAGTTTTGAAAATCAATTGTTATCGACTGGTCAAAGTCAATCAGTTATCAAATTGATACCAAAGAGAGATAAAGACAGGACTAAATTAAATAACTGGAGGCCTACAACACTTATAAATGTGGATGTCAAAATTATCAGCAAAGTCCTCTCTAACCCTTTAAAACCAAATTCTACCAGCATGTAATTTTTCACTTTCACAACTACCAAAAAACCAATTTTATTCAAATTTATTTAAAAGATGGTATCAAATATATACTAAACATATAGACCTTTCTTGAACAGCCAAAAGAACAAATAATCTGGAATAATAGAAATATTTTGATAAATAAGAAAACAGTTTTTAACACAGAATTATCAAAAACCCTTTTATATGTAAAAAGATTTAAACACAGAAAAAATATCTCGCCTAAAACATTTATTTTGTTAAACGGTCTTAAAAAAAGCATCAAGGTCAAGAAGCTGACAAACATTAGAATAAAACCAATAGATTGAAAAACTTATTGAATCTATATAATGTAGGATTTGAAAAAATCACAGCCAAAATAATTTATACGAAATATATTGAAATGTTATACGTAAAACAAAGTGTATTGAAAAATAGGAACAAGAATTGGACCAAGAAATTGATAAGCTCTTTGAAAAAATATGTAATCGGATTTACGAAGTCTGTCAAAATATAAAAATACGTAATTTTGAATTTAAATACCTGCATAAAAAAGCTTACACAAATATTAAATTATTTAAAATGGGAATTAAAAATAACACTATGTGCGAGTTCTGTTTTTCTAACTTAGAAACTGTACAACATCTTTTCATTTCATGCACAGAATCTCAAATAATTTGGAACCATTTTAATAATATTCTGGAAAAGAACTCAATAAATATAGATTTAAAAACAATAACCAAACATCTAGGCTATTATGAAGAGGCCAAGATACCAATATCACTATGGTATTTCATAAACCATTGCATTATTTTGACAAAATATTATATTTTTAAGACAAAATTTTCTGAAAAATGTTTAGATCTTAATGATTATCAACTTTTTCTCCTCAAAAATGCCAATGTTTCAATTGGCAACAGTAAAATATAAATGTGAATTTGTTTGTGCACTATGCTAAATAGACTAGAAATAACGTCAGAAGAATAACTTAAATGTAACAATTATATATCTTGTACAAATGTACGTTATGTTATTAAGTTTAATAAAAAAAAAGAGAAAAAAACTGTTTGACATGGCATCTACTGGTTTGTCAGTATATTACAGTTTGATAGAGTGTCTAATGGTTTGTCAGTATATCATGACAGTTTGACAAGGGGTTTATAAATATTTCAGTAAAACTGTCTATAAATTTTTGACAAAGTATCTATAAATTTGTTAGTTAAACTGTTTTACATAGTGTCTATTGGTTTTCAGTATATTACAGTTTGACATAGAGTCTATAAGTTTGTCAGGATATTACAGTTCGACAAAAAGTGACTATTGGTTTGTCAGTATATTACAGTTTGACATAGTGTCAATTGGATTGTCAGTATGTTACTGTTTGACACAGTGTCGATTGGATTGTCAGTATATTACATTTTGACATAGTATCTATAAATTTGTCTGTAAAACTGTTTGGCATAGTGTCTATTGGTTTGTCAGTATATTACTGTTTGACATATTGTCTATTGGTTTGTCAGTATATTACAGTTTGACATGGTATCTGTATATTTGTCTGTAAAACTGTTTGACATATTGTCTATTGGTTTGTCAGTATATTACAGTTTGACATGTATCTGTATATTTGTCTGTAAAACTGTTTGACATAGTGTCTAATGGTTTGTCAGTATATTACAGTTTGACATAGTATCTATACATTTGTCTGTAAAACTGTTTGGCATAGTGTCTAATGGTTTGTCAGTATATTACAGTTTGACATACTACCTATACATTTGTATGTTAAATGTTTGACATAGTATCTATTGGTTTGTCAGTATATTACTGTTTGACATAGTGTCTAATGAATTGTGAGTATTACTCTTTGACATAGTATCTATAAGTTTGTCAGTAAAATAGAGTCTATTTTTCAAATGGTTTCAATTTTAACCAGCAAGTGCCTATTGGCTTGTCTTTGTCAGTATAATAAAGTTTGGCATACAAGGTTTGTAGGTAAATCTATTCAACAAAAAATGACCATTTGTTTATCAGTATAACTGTTTGACATTAATGTTCATTAGTTTGTCAGTAAAAGTAGGTTCCATATTTTTTAATTTAGTTATCCAATAATTTGCAAGGGCAGCACCAGCTTGTTATCTGTCTTAGAGTGAAGGTGTTTTCAAGGACTATAACTCAAATTAAATATTTATTTTTTTTTTTATATTCAGTAGGGTTCATCCTTGGGTGATGACAACCCTCACACCAATTTTGTTAAGATCCTTCAAGAATTGTGCTAGGTAGAGTGTTTACAAGCAGTTGTAGATGGACGGACAGTCTGACGGACGTACGACATGGGTGATGCCTATATACACCTTCCACATGTCATGTGGACATATAATAAAAGGACTACAAGAGCATATCATTATAATTTCTGTTGGATTGAAAATACAGTATTATGATACAAGCTTCCTTAATCATAATAATAATAATAATATCAAGATGATGTATCAATAGTAGCACCAAACTCTTTAACTGGGCCATAATTTACTCTCCAATAATCACATAATTATAACGACATATAAGAGAAATTCTTTCAGGTTCCTAGATTTCAACACATCCTTAATTGGCTTTCAAAAAAGCATTTTTGAGAAATTATTGGCTGCTTCGTAAGAAAATGACTTGTACACAACAGAATACTTAAATATTCACAAACGTTTCATTTTGTTATGAATGCAACATGTTTAAACTCTTCATACTTTTCATCTAACAGCTTCTTTTAGAAAGTTAACAGATGACATACAGACGGTCAGATTTAGTATACTCAAATTAATGGCCCTGACCTTAAGATTGAGGCCTTGACCTTAAGAATTAGTAATTGACCTCGATAGTGAAGTTCAAATTAAGTTAGCCTTAAAAAATTTGACTCAACTTTAAGAATAAAAAAGGGCCTTGACATATTTTCATAATATTACATCACAAGCAAATACATAATTATATATATCAGTAACATAACTATATCAATTTGGTTAAACATTGTTCAGAGTTGATTACATACAATATTTCTGACACAAATTTTGCTTTCAACACTTGTAAAATACAAATTACAGTAGTCTACTACTACCAAATACCAAATGAGCAAAAATTTCCTTTTTTTTAATGATTTTAACATTCTGACGAATTTAACGGTTCGTCCTAAATTTATATTCTTCTTAACCAATCATAAAACAAAGTCTTTGAATGGCATTTAGCAATTGTGAGTACAATATATAGACACAGCTTTATGGAGCAACAATCACTGGTTAAAGTTTTATGCAACGTTTCGACGTGTTTCCCCGTGTTTCCTCGTGTCTGAGGACGCGTTTCGACGTGTTTCCCCCGTCGTCCTCGTACCTGAGGACGACGGGGGGAAACACGTCGAAACGTTGCATAAAACTTTAACCAGTGACTGTTGCTCCATAAAGCTGTGTCTATACAATCATAAAACAGTTTTTTGAGAAATTTGAATTTGATTTTATCATGTTAAATCTGCAAAAAAAAAAAGAAAAAAATGCAAATATTTGAATTCAACAGTATCATATGAATATTCAGTATTAAGAATACTTGTTAAAATATTCAGAATTCATAAGATAAGAATAAAATAAATATATATACATTAAAGCAAACAAAAAATAGTTCTAAAACTTAAAATGTATTTCTTTCTAAAACAATTTTCCAGTGTTTTTAAAGGATTTCAATGTTTTTAATAAAAAATATCCTTTAAAAAAAAGAAAAATTAAAAGATGTGTTGTACAAAAAATGAATGATCTAATTATAAGAATATTATGACATTATGAAATTAAAAATACGTGCTAAATATAAAATCTTTTCTTACGCAAGTAAGAAGCTTCTTTAGTATACATTCCAAAGCCTTTTTTGTTTATATAAGTTTCCACAAAGCCTCTTGGCTTGTACAAAGCCTTTTCTTGTTCTACAAGCTCATAAAAATACCTTCTCGTACATATAAGTTAGTAAAGAATACATAAAATATAAGCTTATATAAAAAAATTTCTATATAAAAAAATTTCTATTGTACATAAAAGCTTATATAACAAAAACTTCTAATGTACATACAAATTCTGAAAACTCTAAAAAATGAAGCAGTCTCTTATAATGATAACACAGTCCATAGAAGTTAATATAAACCTATATAAAGAGTATTTTTCCTCCTTCATAATATAGTGACAATATCCAACTAAATGACGACTGTAGTTTGGTGCAGAAGTCTCAAAAGCAAAATAATAGGACTTGCTTGCCAAATTTTAATCAGGGTATATGAGAAGATATCATTTAGTAGGATAGCGTCATACTGTACTTTAAGACTATAGTATATAATATATCTAATATAGTAATATTATCGATTGTAGACATTTAATAAAGGAATTTAAGGTACTGTACATGTTAAAATAAGAAACTTAAAGTACCAAACAGTTCATAGGGAACTCTTAGTATTCAAATCTGCTTACTTCAGTTTCCATAAATTTAGCAGAAGTCAACAAAACGTTCATAACTGTTCACACATTCTGTTCCAAAATCTTTTTCCTAACTTTCAAAACCTATATTTATGAACAAACTTTGTAAACAGAAAAGCAAAAAAGAATAAGCAATCGTTAAAAAATCCTCTATAAATTTGATAATGTACAAATATTTGGTTTCTTTCATTAATATGGTTCTTGCTCACCCAAATATGACAAAGGTAACAGAAGTCTTCTTTTCATTAATAATATGCTCAACAATTGAATTACAATACAAATATTTTATTTCGTGTTTTCCTACATGTGACTCACTAGCCATCTATAATCTGACAAAATTACTATGCATTATATGTTCTAAGTCATACAGGACTTAATCCACCAATATTCTGTTAAATAAAAGATTTCCTTACAATGTGTTAGGAATTCCTATTGTCTGTCCACTTTGATAGTTCGAAATTTTTGTAGACAACTTTTGATGCATTTGAGCAAAATTTGACTGAACATAATTAAAAGAAAATTTCGTCAGATCATGATTGACAAGAGTAGAAATCTGCAGAAAAAAGAGATATTTAACGACATGTATATCAGTCGAATTGAGTGCACAAATTCACAGAAGAACAATTTTCAAGCAATATATTTCCATTAAATCTGATCAAAAAGTAAACAAAACCTATTGAAAAACAAACTTTATAGAACAAGGGTTAAATTCAAGAACTAATGATACCTTTGAAATCAAAATGGTTCCATGATTTCCATTTAACATAGCTTCCAACAGTTTCATAATTTTCATATGTTCTGTTCTCTGTGCTTCCCTTTTTCCTCCGCATCACAAAATGTTAATTGCACTTTGTAGTGAAAAATTTACAAACGAAATGCCCCATTAGGCACAATATTTGCATATATCATTTACGAAAATATATCTAGCAAACACCAGTGCAAACAAAATCGGATCTACATAAAAACGAAAAAACATCAACAAAACAAATCGTTAACTAAACAAGTTCCACAAAGACAAAGAACAGTTACACAAGCAAGAAACACATCATCGGCAAGATACTATAGTCAGATACAAAACACATCAAATTCAAACGCTCTGGTCTTCTGTTGCCATGGTTACACTTCTTCCAAGCAGACAAAAACACTTTGGTAAATAAGTAAAAGCTAATTCTGCTGTTTCTGGAAACATATCATCACAATGGCAGCATAATTGAGATTTCCAGTTGAACTCTGACCTCATACTCAAGAGTGGCTATATGATGCACACAAGTAGATGAGGTCAATATTATGATGAAAATAGAATTTCCTACAATATAACTGTATTATCGTAGGTTGCGTTGAGATGTATTTTCAACACACAGAACTATAAATGCATTATTACAGGAATACTGTTCACTGTCTAATAACATATTTTTCATTAAAGAACTACCAAGTCCCATTTTGTTCCGACTCATTGAATGCCACTTATTACAATATTCATCTTTCATTAGTTGTCCATTTCTATTGGAACCATGCCAAATTATTTTTTGGGGCCTGAAAGAGAATTGAAATGATAATTAATATACAAGAATTTAGAAAAACTACTCATGCTCTCGTATATCTAAAGATCAAACATATTTTTCCAATATTTTGATATTTTATTAAGTTTTATCCAGAACTTGAAGACAGATAATGTAGAATGTAATGAAGGAAATTTTGCCAGGATAGCAACATAAGCATATCTTTTCCAATTTCTAACTTTTAAGGGGCATAGTCTGCAGCCCAGTGATCTGTCTTTTAATTTTTTCTTTCCCCTCTGAATGACCCTCTGAATGCCTGGTAGAGTTTTTCATGTCAGCATGATTGACAGGGTAAACAGAGTTGAAGAATCAGTACCCATGTCTGAACCCTTATCCTTATAAAGCTTATTCAGTCATCCTAGCATCTGACAAATTTAGATACTTACTTCATCAAAACTTTAGACTTTATTGTATGAACAGGAATTTGCTTTTACTACGAAACAACCTCATTTGTATTCTCAATATACATTTAAAGCAAAACAAACAAGAAGAATGCTTACCAAGCTGGATCATGCATAATATCTTTACCATCAAATGAATAAATTGTAGATTTATTATTAAAATAACCACCAGCACCATTGACTAAATCATCCCACGAATTAAAGATCATTTCATCCTTAAATATACAAAACAGTTGCTTCATTATGTTCTTACAATTATCATTATCCTATACCATGATCAATTGTGGCGCCAGTCTGGGTTGAGGGCAGAAGGGCATTGGCATTTGCCCCATCACAAAGATAGCTTGCCAGGCAAGGTAATATACGCCGACTGGCAGCTTTAATTTTGAATAAAAATATTTAGCAGTACAATATGAAATATTCAACCTTCATTCATACATTTCTTCTGAACTCTTTAAGGCGATACTGAATAATATTATTCTTATGTGTGGCCGTATAAAAATGGTTTGTTCCCCTACTTCATTTCTAAGTACTCCCACTTCGCCATGTAGGCCGAATAGGTTCATAGTGAAACTTTCATCAACTGTACTGATGTAGTACATAATTACACACGTAATACCATTTTCAAAACCAATGGCATATTTCGCAACTATTTTTGAGAACAAAGTGAAATACAATGTAAAATAAATATGAGTGTAAGAGTGAGTAGAATAAACTACATACCTTGCTGTTAACTATTGGTATTTTTCTATCAAGTTTATATATAATGGAATCAACATCTTGAGTTTGTGTAGACAAGAAAGCTCTGTAAGTTCCACGGAATCCTGCTTTACGAGCCTGTCTGTGGCACTCGTAATCAGCTCCTCTTATACCATGCATATCACCACGCTTTGGCTGATTCAATGCTATTAAGTGTAACTGAAATAAAAGTATTATTCTGTGATAAACTATTGAAAAAGTTTGTTATGATTTTAAGAAGCTGTTTGAAAACTACTGTACGGATGTAAGTAAAATAAACCTCTAATTGTAGAGAAATATGTCTCTGACTTATTTTTTATCTTTATGTCATAAGACTCAATATTTTTAGTTTAAGGCCTAACACCATAACTAGGTTAAGCTGCTTACTATGCAATTAGTATATTCCATTTCTAATTAACCCTTTTAAAACTAATTCATTTTGATCAAGTAGATACATAGAGGTAAATAGCATACTCTAGATAGTGAAAATTTTGCATACTGTAAAGTACTATCTTTAATTAAGAAGGGATAGAGGTCTCTTTTTAAATCTGCAGATGGATTGCTATCAACATACCTTACTTCCTGTAGTGTAATTTGGTGGTGGTAAAATTGGTATTCTTGGTGCTTCTGTAGTACTCTAAAAATACAAATTATCACAAATATTATCAATATAATAACAACAACAATAAACAACAATTAATTAAAAGTAATGTTAATTAAGATCTATCATCCCATGATTAAAAATATTAAAATACATTTAGTTATATTATTATTAAATTAGAAAAAAAGTCAGTAAAAATGCCTTAATTACTTTTTAGATTTTATGCACATATTTCATCTACTCTTACAAATGTTATAACATTAATTTTAATTCTTATATTAACTCTTCTTTTGACAATATATTTTTGAATCCATAACTATAAGTGAAATATAACTTTGAAAGCATTAATATCTATAAATAATGCTTAACTTTCAAAGCTAACTTCTTCAAGCATTTTAAATAAAAGCAGTAAAGCATCATTATTTCAATCAAGCACTTTCATCAAAAGAAATAAAATTTCAGTCAAGCATCTCCATCAAAGCAACTCAATGATATCTGGGAAAAGCATCTCCATCTCAATGAAGTATGAAGCAATGAAATTTCAGTAAAGCATATTCATTACAAGCAATGATATCTATAGCAGCCTAATTTTCAAGTCTTAGATATTTTATGCCTATAGTGCAAAGCCAACTCCTATTTTGAACTATGGTCAAATGATTTTGAAATTTGGTAACTAAATTTTCTGTTCCTTAGTCATTAGTCATGAAAGTAACGAAGAAATTAAAAAAAATTGCATGTTGTCTGAAAATATACACCCACACATCAGTTCATTTTGTACAAAAAATTAACATAAAAAGGGATAAAATTGTCTTAATGTGAACTTTTACTAACATCTGAGAGCTAAAGCTATATGTAACACTTTTCATAATTGAAATCAGACATCTGATTCTCCTGCACTTCAAGAAACAGACAAGCAAAACAATTTATATCCACTAAATAATGTGGGCATATACATGCATTATGTAAGGTATCAATCAGGAATGTCATGAGGACCAAACCCTGAAATCTAGAAGTTTGAGGAATTCCTGTGTATTGTAATAGAGAGCTTTTTCTTACATACAGTTAAGCATTTTAAGCATATTATACGGTCTCATGCATGATATTGTTAATAACCTTTCAAAAATAAACACACAACAAAGACAAAGAGTGACCTTCTTTAAAATCAAATTTAAATTTTCTCATGGAATTTTATGCACCAAAAGCATGTTATGCATAAAAGTTGCATAAATAAGGTTATTTAAAAGTATGGAAAACTACCATCCTTCTCTTTAGAGATTTAATCTTAAAAATTTCTAATAAATCTATTTATATCAATATATACATGAATAACTTTTGAAAAGCTGACTGAATGTAGAATAAGCTCAATAGTTTTACTCATTATATGGTTAGTGAACAATCTAAAACAACAAAATAAAAAAATAACATGCATGTTATTACAACAATAAGGAAAGGAAAATGAATTTCAATTTTTCAAATCAAGTTGTCAGAGGACCAGACTAATATTAAACTAAATAAAGCTTATACTGAAGCTATGAGTTGCATGTATTTTTAATCAGGCCATACAAAGCAACAGAAAAAATTGAAAAAAATGAACACCAACTCCTAAATTATGAGGAAAGTTTCAAAATTTGTTGCCTCATGGAAGGAATATTCTATCACAAATGATTCCTGTTCCGAAATCAAGGAATGCCATTAAACTACTAGTCTTGAATGTGTTTTCCATAGCTTACCTTGGCCTATATACAGTTGGAATTTTTGGAATCATGAGGAAATTAAGTATATGATGTCATTAAATTCAAACGATCTGATACACTTTGATAAGTTTTTGACAACTTTGTAAAAAGGCAAACACATTTTGTTTAACCATGAGACAACAAATAAAATTAGTTTTGAAAAGACCAATGTGGTGCATAACAACAAAATATGAATAGATTTTAAAAATGACAACAAAATTGAGGAAGCATTTTGAAGTGTTGAATTACCAATGGAACAAATTGCGGCTTGTCTGTATCTATAGGTCGTTGTGTAGGGATGGGTCGCCTAGTGGGACGGGCTCGGGAATCCTAAATATAGGGAAATTACAAGTATTCAACTAATCAAAAAAATATAACCACAAATTGAAACAATAAAATAATCAAATTAATAAAAAAAGAAATCACCATTGAGGCCAAAAAATTAAATTAAATAAAGAAAATCCTTGCATAAGAAATAAAATTAAATGGTTATTGTTCTTAAACAACACATCAACAACTAGATCAAGTTTTTTCATTTGAAATATGCCATTATTTCATTAGCAACAAAATCCTCTAAAAATAATTCAAATTATTAGCAATCAATGAAAATTCATAATATAGCAAGATACCCATGCTGTATTTGTAAATTATTTTCGGGCATATCAGTTCTGGACTGTATATAACAAAGACTTAAGATGCAGAAAGAAATAAGATATTTAGATAATGATAAATTATGAGTACTTACTGGAGTTGTAGGTTTGGGAAGAGGAATAGCTTGTCCAAGCTGTAAGAATAAATTAGTTTTCTTTGATACTGAACGCATAACAAAATTTGTCTGAATGAACTACAGCATAAAACTGAATCATAACTTGATGGGACGTCAAAAAAGGGCAATATGTAAATCTGCAAGCTTTTGTCCCATTTGAACTTGCTTAGCTCTTGCTGAAACAAAAGACTGTCAAGATGGAGTATCATCATCAAATATATCTCCTTTTCAAAAATGAATTTCAATTGAGGTTGCTGTGGTTACATGGTTTACATGATGATAGAAAAAAAATATTACCATTACATATCTCCATCCACTTTCAACTCTCAGATAAACAAACTCTTGATCCATAACATAGGCCATGGTACCAACTGGCATACTGTGTGATACAGCCAACAAACTATCCATGTTTCTAAACACCACTGGACCAGCCTAAAATAAAATAATTTTTAATTTAATTTAAATTATTTTCTTTCCTTTGAAAACTCATTGGTCTGATAAACAAAATAAGCTAAACCATGTCTATTGAAGACATAGTGTCAGAATCAAAGAGGATGAATTCTTGTTCAAAGTTATGCATAACAAAAAAAAAAAGACAAAAGCAACCATATCAAGTACTTACTGTGTTTACAGAACCAGTATCACCACCTTGTCCATAGCCTCCTCCCTGTCCACCTTGTCCATAACCATAGCCTCCTCCCTGTCCACCTTGTCCATATCCAGGTTTAGGACAGTCACATCTGCCAGCAGGTCCAGGAGGGCCTGGTGGACCTTGATATCTTCTGCGGTCATCAAATCCTCTAATGTTGAAGTTTCCCCCACTAGCTCGTGGACCAGGTGGTCCTCGAGCTCCCGGAATACCAATTCCTGGTGGTCCAGGAGGACCTGGTGGGCCAAGAGGACCTTCTCTACCCCTGGGACCTTCAATTCCAATTCCTTGTAAGCCACGCAATCCCTGCAACACAAAAAATAAGGAATAAAATGTGTTCAGAATCTGAAATGAATTGAAATAAAATGAATGGAGTTTTACGTCTTACTTTTCGGCATCATGTGGGCTAATTAAGATGGACAACGCCATAAGCCTCCTCTTTTTCAATTTTCAATGGTCGAGGTATCTTTGACGTTACGACTAGACGCTTTATCGATGTCAGAACCTCTTACCTGCATCACTGACAAGGGGAAACCAGGTATCATCTCAACCTATGCGTCTAACTTCCTGAGCCAATGCGACTCCTGTACAGAATATGAGATAATCAGGAGTCAGGATTAATCAAGAAGCAACTTCAGTTCCAGTTTACACATTGTTGAATTAAATAATGAGGAAATGTGACTTATTCAAAGTCACCAGACTTTGACACACTAAGATAAGTAACTATGCAAATGACTTAAACATTCTAGGGCCTCAGAGCACAAAGAAAGATCTATTAGCTTACCCTTTCTCCAGGTGGACCAACAGGTCCAGGTGGACCAGGGGGACCTCTAATATAAAGACCATCAGAACTTCCTTCAATACCACCCCCTCCAATTCCACCACCAGGAGGTAAGCCAGGAGGACCAGGTGGACCAGGTAAACCTCTTAATCCACTAGATCCTTCAGGACCAATTGGACCCTGCAAGAAATATATCAGTGTTTTATTCAGATATTTTGTTGAAATTAAAATGGATTATAATTTTAGGCATAGAACAAAAGAAGATTCTGGAGTTTCTTTTTAATCTAAGGGACAAATGTAGAATGATATTTACATGTATAGAAGCACATAGCATTTAAAATCAAATATGGTTCTGAATATACTAAGCCAATAACTTACTGGTCGACCATCTCTACCAGGTTGTCCATCTCTTCCAGGCCTTCCTGGTAATCCAGCTTCACCCTTCTGTCCTTTTTCAGCTGTAATACATGTACATATTAAAGATTATCGGATTGTTACAAATGTCCCTGAACCTCTTATGGGTGACTCAGTCAAAGAAAGAGTCATCATAATTTTATCCTGAAAACCAAGATTAATGTCACGTTGCTCTCCTAAGCGGTGATTACAATGACACAGTATCATTGGTTTATGTGTCTTAGTATTTGTGACAAATAACATTTGGGATTTGAAAAACCAGATTGAATTACCTAATACAATTCCACTACCTGCTTCACCATTTAGATTCAAACTACCAGTACCTGGTGGACCAGGTGGCCCAGGAGGACCACTGGGACCTCTACGTCCATCTTGTCCCTAAAATAAGATTAATTAATAAACCAATCAAAGCATTCTTCTGGGGAACAAAACAAAAACATGTACAACATGTAATTAATGTGACAGAATAATTCTGACCAATCACACGCATTTTTTGGAGGCTTTTTCTCCTACAAAAACATTTCCACCCCATCTGTACAACTGAGGACTTTTAAATCCAAAGCATGTCTCCAACAACATTAGCAATTCTTAATCATAAACTTACAAAAAAGATAACTTGCCCACTGGCAGCTGTCAGAAATGATAAAACAGTCGTTAGTGATTAAAGTATGAAATTTCTCATATTAAAGAAATTCTAATAGTTTGAATTCATCATTGATATATATATTTACTGCGAAATCAATATCAATAATCCAAATACATCAAATTATCGCATCAATATAGATGATCACACCATGTGTCATTAAAATCAATTGAAAACTGTAGTCTCTTATGTGTTCACAAACAAATTTGGATGCGTTTTTTCTAAGTCAAGGGCAATAACTCAAAGACCATTCATTGAAATATCAAATTCGAACTTGTTCAAGATCTCATCAAAATAAATGATCAGATCACACCAAATTTCATTAAAATCTGTAGAAAACTCTAGTCTCTATTGTGTTCACAAACAAATTTTGACACGTTTTTCTTAACTCAAAAACCGTTCATCTAAAGATAGTCAAATTCGAACTTGACCAAGATCTCATCAATGTAAATAATCACACCAAATTTCATTAAAATCAGTTGAACACTGTAGTCTCTATTGTGTTCATAAGAAATGTCGACGGATCGACGGAAACATATGTCCACATTTCTATGTGGTCATTCCAAAAAGAAAAACAGGCAGCAATAACCAATCACAAAAGACTTTTTGATGGGATCACCAATACCACTAGTAGTATAGTGATTCATTTGATGTATACTGAACTTGGTGTAATAAATAATAAAACTTGACATCAAATACCATATGTAAGCAAAAGCAAATTAGACAGTGCAGAAACTCTGTGGATTCATAGACTTGACTCTGTATGGCCGTATGGATTGAATGAACCCCCCTTCCCCTCCCCCTTTTTCCCTTTCTGTTTAGATTTTTTGGCAAATCCTGAAGTCATCATTACATACTTGTTATGTTGTATCTAAGATTTTGATGTCATAAATCTTCTGAGGTCATATCATCAAGAATCAAATTGCCTCCCACCATTTTGTGATTTGACCCTTCTCTTGTTATGTGGTTTCTAAGATTGTGACATCATAAAACTTGAGGTCATATTGTAATTTTAATCTTAACTGCCTTCCACCATTTGTAGTTTGTTTCTTCCCCTGATGAAGTCAAAACTTATTTTGACGAAACGTTGGGTATTAAAGGATGGTATTTGATGTCAAGTTTTATTATTTATTACACATTTCAATGTGGGCGTATAAAAACGAAAGTCTACATAGAAATTGTCTAAAAGGTACTTACAGAATCTCCTTTGGGTCCAGGTATAAAAACTCCACTTCCCTGAGGGAGCCCAATACCAGGGGGTCCACGATCACCCTTATCTCCTTTCTGTCCATTATAACCAATACCAGCTTCACCTTTACGACCTCGTAAACCTGTACGACCCTAAAACACATAGAAATTATACTAAAATGTACAGTTTGAAGAACATTTGAAGTCTCTATTATCTCAAAACCAATCATCAATATTCATACATCTCTATCCTAAGACAGAAAGATATTAACTTAACCACACAGTATCTTCACATTATAATCTTCATAACATCAAACTTCCAATTTTAAGGAACCAAATTTCTGTACTGAAAGTTCTGTGGATAGGTAGATAGATTATTATGGTAAAACAAACATTCAAATGATAGTATTCTAGTAACTTTGATTCACTGCAAAAGATCTTTAGTTATTGGTCAATTATAAAAGAATTTTCTATACTTACTCTAAAACCAGGCATACCCATTTCTCCCATTCTACCAGGGAACCCTCTAGGTCCAATAGGTCCTATTTCACCCTATATATATAAAATAGACAAAGATTGAATCAGAAGTTCATGCTCTACTTTACTGCATCTTATTAACCTAAATGAATGCAAGTACCATCATGGAGGGAGGGAAATTTTGCTATGACATAAGAGATAGCATTATATACCATTAAATAAATGATTCTCCTGTTCAGTAAGGTTACTTGTTGTGCTTATACTTCAAGACCCATGACATGTTTTACCCCATTTTCAAATCAGCTGTCGTGGAGAGGATTTTTTCATCCAAAACATGAACCAACAGCACCATATGTTCTCTTGTTGTCTTATACAGATGTTAATGGTAATCTGTACCTTTTCTCCTTTAACAACTCTGTATGGACCAATAGCTGTAGATCCTGTGTCAGGCCCAATTCCAGGAACAGTCTGACCAGGGGGTCCTGGAGGACCAATAGGTCCAACTGAACCAACATCTCCTTTGTCTCCCTTCAAACCCTACAAAATAATTCGAAAAATTCCACATTCAGCCACAGTTTGATTTGAGGTTACATTTTAATTTCTGTTTCAAAAATTGACAAGAAAACTTAACACCACAGTAAGCTTAAAATGTTGACAAAACAATTCAGTGACAACACTCAAATTAAATAGTATTTGGAACAGTGATAGCCTAACCTTAATCAAAGACGAAATTGGAATGTTGCAAATGGAGGCTTGAGGTGTTCTTATTGCGTATTCATGGCCATAAATCATTCTTAAAACTATCATTGTCTTGTTAGCCATAGAATAAAATATATCTCTTTCTCAAAATAGCATCAACTCTTTGTCCTGGTCCGAGGTTACTATAAAAATAAAAGGTAGAAGAAATTTACATACTGGAAGTCCAGCTAGACCAGGTTCTCCAGGTGCACCAGGAATACCAGGAGATCCTGAAATACCATCAATTCCATCAATACCAGGAGTTCCATCCATTCCCCTCTCACCCTTAAATAAAAGAAAAAAAATTAAAACAGAACCTAAAATCTTTTGTTACTCAGTGTTTCTAAAATATTGAGAAAACTATCTTGTCTGTGTCACTATTGAAGTTTGACGTTAATACTTAGTTAAATGCAGTTTATTCTTCTTTTGTTGTAAAGATCCTAAAAATACAATATTGTATTTCACAAATTTTTTTAGAACCCTATAATAACTCTACTTACCTTTTGTCCAGGAGTAGAAATAACAGAACCAACTTCATCACCTGAGCCTCCTGAACCACCTGTAGTTATCACTGTACCGGGAATACCTGGAGGTCCTGGGGGACCAGGTTTTCCTGGTCGACCATCTACTCCTGCCAGTCCTATACCTGGCTCACCAGGCAATCCCTGAAATACACCATACATATTATAAACAGGAAGGAAAATGGACTTTTGGAGTTAATGGAAATACGAATAATTATTTAAACTATTAATAATTTTTGACTGAGGTGCAATTAGTAAAACACCTACTCCAACAGTCAACTTTATCAGGCTGTCTAAGCATCTACAAAAGGAATAAATAAGAAAATTCAAAACTAATATTGGTCTATTAAGTAAGGCATACTGCAAGAAAATAAAGGAAGAATGGGAAGAAAGTATATCTTACAGGTACTCCTCTAGGGCCTGTTAATCCAGGTTCTCCCTCAGGACCTTGTGAACCTGGAGTACCAGGTAACCCTGTTTCACCATGTGGACCAATAGGACCTCGTTCACCTTCAAATCCCTGGAAGGTAAGAATAGAATACTATAAGATTATTTGATCTCATGGAACCCAATTTAAATGAACTTTGCCAATGAATGATATTTGTGCATACTGTTTTCATATTTTTCAGGAAAATGGAAAAAAATGAGTTTTATTTTGGACTGAGACAAAAATATTAAGAAGAAAGATTTCAGTCCAGCTTTAGATCAAATTAACATGTGGACTGTCTGAAAGGCTTTTTTGGTATTTTTAGGTGTTTGTTTGGATTAAAACATACTTACCCTTTCTCCTTTAGGACCAACTGGTCCAGGTAAACCTCTTTCACCTCTAGCTCCATCTACACCATCTCTACCAGGAATTCCTTGAGGACCTTCAGGACCTATTGGACCCTGAGGACCTGGTAGTCCCACGCCGCCAATCTATAAATAGAGTACTTTTTATAGATCATAAAGACATCAAATAACACAGGACCAATATTCTTACTCTTTTCTAGGACATTTGGACTAAGTATGGATCCAAGACTCATACAATTCTGATTTTTATCCCTTTGTAGAGATCCCAGCCTAGAGTACTAATGCATTTAGTAGACAAGAAAACCCCACATGTAGAATAATAATGAATGGGTAGACAATTTGTATAATAACAATAAATGTCACAGTATAACTCTTCACTGTATAACATCAATGTTCTATTATCATCTATAGACATGAAACAGCTTTATGGAGTGAAAAACATGTTGATAATTTTGGACTTCCTTGATTCAGACTTTTTATTGAAAATACTGACCTCACTGTCATCACCACTAAAAACAAATCCTTCTCCAGTTCCACCTCTACCTGGAGGTCCTGGTGGACCAGGTAGACCTTGTATACCTCTAGCACCATCTCTACCATCACGACCTTCTAATCCTCTATCACCCTTCATACCTGGTTCGCCTGGTTCACCTGGTAAACCATCTCTTCCCTAAGGATTTATCAAGAATCACATTAATAGCTATTAGCTTGCTTAACACCTGGACAACTGAGTACCAGTTAAGTGGCTGGTAGAATAAGGTTAAAATTTATATGCTGTATTGACTCAAAAAGTAAAATAGTCATGGATCTTCAGATGTAGTGGTTTAAACTCAGCAAACATTAGCTGCTGGGGCAACAATCATTGGAAGGGCACTAGTTTAATAATTCTTCACAATTTCATTATACCTCAAAGGGCAAAAACAAAAACATTTCAGAACTTACAGGCTCTCCTTCAGTACCTTGAGGACCTTGTGGACCAGGTTCACCTTGTAGGCCAGGTGCTCCCTGAAAAAAATATCACAACTTTAGAATTTCAAGTTTGTGGGTTGCTTCCCTTTAAACACTAGTATTGTAAATATAGAAATATTTTAGAAGTAACATCATTAGGAATATTTAATCAATATTTTGTTTAATATATTAATACTGATGTGGCATCAAGTATTCTGGAAAAACAAAGTGGTTTTCTAAAAATTTGTATGTGTATCTGGAACACTGCTAGCATGGATTTGCATCATTAAAATTTTCAGTCAAAAGTGTATTTATGATACAGCTATTCCATAGGTGCTTAGATTCTACTAGCAGTCTTTACCATAGCAACATCATCAGCCTCCTTAAAGGCATTTTATAATGCTCTTAAGTTAAGTATGGATTGAAGTTGGTTGTAGTAATAACTAAATGTAGATGTCCATCAACAATTAGACTTATTGTTTGGTAAGAAAAATCACATCAAAATAAAAGATAGACCACAAACACACAAATAAATATAAATAATTATAAACTGAGAACACAGGAACATCAACAAGTTTAAAACTGTTTACCTGAATCCTATGGTTAGCAAACAACGGATAAAAATCATTATTTTACACTTAATAAATATAGTTTGGACTAAGATCAATGTGCACTAAGGAGATATTCCTACAGAATTTCCTGAATTAAGTTTCACAATAGTTTTAACATTGGAGAGAATTACCCAAAATCAAAGCATTACAGAAAAAAATCCATTCACTTAAAGGTTGTCTACCTCTTTGAATAAACATGAAATTTAAATTTTTCATTGTTTGGGTAATAAATAAGTAATTTGTTAGAAAATTCAGTTTTTGTGACTCATTACTTAATTTAATGTTTTCGGGTTCATTTTCAGAGGCAGAAAACCTTTATTAGCACAGTGGTATCAGGTGCTCTGATAGGATCAATATGCTATATGTCACTGTCCACCCTCTTGCAACAAGAGGCAAAAATACTTACAGGAATACCAGCAGGACCTACAGGACCTGGTAAACCATCAGTACCAGCTAGTTCAATAAGTTCAGTAATATTAGCCATATCAAACACACCAGGCTTACCTACAAATAAAAATCTTTATTAAACAGTGGAACATACTTTAAAACTGAGCTTACAAATTACCTTGCCTCTGTTTACTGTATTAAACACTTCTCTTAGTTCAAGTCTGAGGATTTAAAATACTCAACTGAAACAAACATACTTGTAAAGATGTGATGTCATAAGTGAGCGATATGTTTCATTTGCCTGAATTAGACAAGACTTGCAGTTACTATTTTGACATAAGACATTTACAAAATTTTTTTCTGCTATCCTGTCTTTCAACAAATATCCTGTAACTCAATTAGGCACTACAACTTACCAGGAACACCAGGTAGACCAGAAAGACCAATTTCTCCCTTAGGACCCATAGGACCAATAGGGCCTATAGGACCAGGAGGACCTTCAGGACCTGGTAGACCCTGTTCTCCTCCTCCAATACCATCAATATCACCAGATCCCTCAACATTCACTATACCACCAATACCTGGAGGGCCAGGAGGACCTGGTGGACCAATTGGACCCCGTGGACCGGTTGGTCCTACCACAAATTCACCCTAAAAGAACAAAAAAAATCTTTCTCTTTTTGTATGCTGATTTATTCGCTTCTGTTCACATCTCATATCTCAGTTTTACCATTTTTTGGATGAAAGATCTTTCTACAAGATTGTCATTTGAACTTAAGGTTCATGGATAATCTATACAAAATCTAATCTAATTTAAATATAAATAGATAGGTGCAGGCCTTGTGAAAATGCTGTAAAATAAGTACCTTAGGTCCCATAGGTCCTTCTCTACCATCTAAGCCTCCTGGACCAGGTTGTCCTGGTAAACCAGTTAAACCTTGGTCACCCTTCTCTCCTTTGATAGGTTCAGGGAATATGTCTGGTCCCCCAGAACCAGGAATACCAGGTGGACCAGGAGGGCCTGGTGGTCCCTGGATAGCAATACCTGGTTGACCCTGAAATATAACCCATACCAGTTTTATTTGTCAAGTTGTGCTCATTTCAAGCTTGCATTGATTACTATTTCAAACAAAGCCACTGAAAAGAAGTATTTGTTGATAGCATACATGTCTGACAAATACTTATATAATAAAGATTAATAGGATAATTCCAATCAATGAGATTATTTGTAAAAAAAAGACCTTAATCATAAAATTCCAGAGAGTCTCTTGGTATTCTTTACCTGTCTTCCTTCTTCTCCTTCATCACCCTTCTGTCCAGCTTCCCCAGCTGGTCCTCTCAGACCAGGTTCACCAGGAGTACCCACATCACCTTTCTGTCCCTTCTGACCTGGGAACCCTGGATTACCTGGTTCACCAGGCACTCCGATATCACCTTTCAGTCCTAATATAGACAGGAAACCAAAGTAGTTTTCAAAAACTGTTAAAACTGAAGATTTATTGAAGGACCTCAAGCAAATATTATACAGGTTCTTCAACTTATTGTGTTGAAAATCACACGGAACAGCGGTTATCCACAATTAATGGAATAAAAATATTCAGAAGTCAAAAATAAATCATAGACACTCATTTTTTGGGTTTCTAAAAATAGTAATATAGCAAAATGAAAGTCCTTTAGTTATTAATTGAGCAATATTCATATTTTCCATTATGTTTTTTAAAACATATATCAATATTTATAAAAGCTTACCTCTGCCTAGTAGACCCTCTATATCTGGAGGGGGAGGTGTAATAAGAGGGGGTCGCCCTGGTGGACCAATATCACCTTTGTCACCCTTGTCACCTTTAGTTCCTTGTACGGTAACACGTTCAATTTCTGTTTGAGGGCTTGTACCACGGGCAATGGGTGTTTTCTAAATACATCAAAAGAATTCAATCATTCAAACTCTTTAAGTCGCTAAACATATAAATATACAAAATTCATGAAAAATATATGAAATATTATTTAAATGGTAAACAATGTTTTATTTTGACAATAAGTCATAACTGTCGTTATTGAGACTGTTTGGATCAGGGACCTGTCTGGTCAAAGACCAACTTGTAGAATTGATTCTGGAACGGCTGCAAATTGAAAGTAAGCTAATCTGTAAACAAATGACCCTTTTCAGGATTCAATGTCTTTATGTATGAGGCAAAAATTCTAATTTTTGTTTGATGGGTCTGGTGGCCACCTTAGGTAACCACTTTTATTTTCACATATTTTAAACAAAATTCCTTTTTTTTAATTCTGTCAAATTTTCCATGATGTATTTGCGTATATGTGGTTTCAGTTCTGATGAGTTTTGACAATATAGTCTACTTACAGTAGTAAAAGTAAAAGGTGTTGTTGGTTCAATTTCTACATCTGGACCAGATCCTGAACCACTGAAATCCTGAAATAATAATATTGAGGATTAAAAATTTGCTTCAATACCTTAATTAATTTAATACATGAATTAATTAATCATTAATCAAAGTTTTCTAAAATATTAATAAAATGGAGAAATCACACAGTTACTTCACTTAATAATATTTTCACAATTACCTGATGAAAATACAGCAAATATCTTGATGTACTCTATCGTACCCTTATTCCTTTAATTTACATTATTTAGACTTAAGGCAAATCTTGACTTTGAAACAATGATCTCCAAGTTGAGTGGTGAAACAAGCAGAAAATCAGTGGATAAAAACCAGTCATACAGTAATCTGATTGGTTTATGAAACTTAAAATCAATTTAAGGGATTGACCAATCAGAACACTAAACAAAATTATCTTGAGTAAAGTTTTAAGGAAATTGGCTTAAAACAGCTTGTTTTACAGAAATATTATGTGATGCATTACCAGTAAGTATATAAATATATACTTACAAAATTACAATCATCACTTTCAGCTTCTGCTGGATTTCCATAAATTTTTAACTCTTCAATAGCTCCCTGAAAAAAAAAAACAGTTTTAGGCATTAAAGTGATCAAATACATTGACAATTGATGATTAATCAGCCAGTCTACAAGTTAAATTTCCTAGGAAATATACAAATCAATAAAAATCATGTCTGCAAATGATTCTCAAAAATGTTAAGATGAAAAATGAAATAAACAGAAAAAGATAAAACAATTTTTTTTTAAGTCACAATTAAGTGAAAGAAGATGCCCTTTCTGAAGACAGTTTAGGGTGCAAGATTAATCATGATGGATAAGAATGAAACAGAAATGCAGTAATAATAAGTGTATATTTTGAATTTCAATATGGTGACCTTAACTCTCTCCAGTAAATGTCAAAGCAGTCAGTACATCTTCAGTTATTTTCACTCAAGTCTCTTGATATTTCATGTCAAGTACTTGAAGAAATTTAAATATTTCTTGAAAAGAAGGAATACATTTGAGAAATAGATTGTTTATATTCTCATTTTTCTTCTCAGAATCAGACTTTGGGGTCAAATTCTTAAAGCCATACTCCCTCTCAGAATGAACAAAAATTTATATTCTCAAACTTGGCCAATAAGCGTATATTCATCAGTGGACTTACCTGATGTCTTACAACAGAATCAATAATTACTTGTTTTTTAGGTAATTGCTTGTAGTTTGATAGACAATTACTTCCAGTTTTATAGATAATTACTTCTAGTTTGATAAATAATTACTTGTAGTTTTATAGATAATTACTTTTACTTTTATAGATAATTACTTTTACTTTTATAGATAATTACTTTTACTTTTATAGATAATTACTTTTACTTTTATAGATAATTACTTTTACTTTTTATAGATAATTACTTGCAGTTTAATAGATAATTACATGTAGTGTAATAGATAAATATTTGTACTTCTATTGATAATTACTAGTACTTTTACGGATAATTACTTTGTTTTATGGATTCTGTTGTGTGATTATGAAAGATAGCACTAGAGGTTGGGGATTCAATCCTGGCATAAGTCAATTTGATGTCACTAGGGTTTTTTTCCAACACTTTTCCCTTAATATTAATGCAGCTAAACAAAAACTTCAGGATCCTAACAAGACTCAGTTAGGTAAGGTAATGGTTTTGTATCCTTTATATGTGTATCAGGGACACTTGTAGCTGAATATAGTTCATCATTACAGTCAGTCCAGCTGTGAATGGGTACTGATAATCTAAGAATAACAAATGCCATGTATCCACAGAATCTTATACCATCCTTAAAAAATAATGGAGCTAGCTATCTGTCTATCTCTCTAGCAGGTCGATAAGATGCACTTTTTGCACTCTTCACCATGTTAGAGCAATCAGATTAAAAATAACTTGTAGATGAGGTGTTACATTGCATTTCATGTAAAAACTATTACATGTGTAAAATATACAAAATCAATTACATGTAACAGTGTTTTTAGTAGCAAAAACTGGTCTCAAATGTGGCCACCATATTTCCTGTCTGCAAGTTGGGGTTGGTATTTGTGACTAATGGCAGAATTTGAGAAAAATGTTTCATCAAATCAGAGACAGATAATAGTTCGTCTAATAAATTTAAGCAGAAATGTCAAAGGTAAATGATAAAACAAGAAAACTTTGATAAAATAATTTGTACCAGAATGAAGGGAAGTCATGGTGAGAGAATGAGAAGTATTTAGTGAAGTTAGGCTTCAGGCATTTAGTCAAGTAGTATCTTCATTTTCTACAGATTGTATTACTACATCAATGCTGCCACCAGTGAAGATAAAGGGGGGAGCAAAGTGACTCAGTGAGTTGGATGCTAGCAAAGTGACTCAGTGAGTTGGATGCTAGCAAAGTGACTCAGTGAGTTGGATGCTAGCAAAGTGACTCAGTGAGTTGGATGCTAACATGTAGCCTGTACATCTTGTGGAACAAGGAAGATGTTCAGGGGCTGTAGTAGCTCTGTAAGTTAAAAGCTTGCTCACTGAACTCTAGATCCAGGGTTCAGTCCATGCATGGATTGGGATAATGCCTTCAGATTATTCAACCCAGTTTCCTCATTGTTAGTGACCCTAAAGAGACTGATATGCAAAAAGTGTTTGATGTTTTGAGGCAATATACTGCGACCCTGTATGTTACGAACTGCAGCACATATCTCTCGACAATTAGTTAGATATTCCTCATTACATGATGCATGGTGTTGCATGTTTTCATTAGCCCAAGTTTGCTAAACTGCTAACTCATTAATGCAAAGGTCCTAAATCCTTCATAATCTGTCCTTCAAGTCTGGAAAACAAGAAGTTTTGTATCTTTCATTTTTTCCCTTCAAAAATATGACCCATTAACCCATTAAAACTGCCAGTTACTTTCAAATTTTTCATAACTGCTTTTACAGCAAAATCATATAACCGTCAACATAGCTTTTTGTGATGCATTAATTCAGCATATAAATGAATCATTTTGTGAAATACATGTGATTAATCAAAGAATTTGTCAGTATAAAATGTTATTTGACAGTTGTAACTTGTTTTTATATCTCACCCACACTTTTCTCTAGACTACAACCAGCTAGATAATTGACCAATATCTATTTAAGTTAAATGAAAAGAAAGGGTTTTGCATCCTCCATAAGATAAGCAAAAAGAGTCATTTGTAAGGAGAGTGGCATTACCATACTTCCTTAAAGAGCACCTGTTTATCATCTCATCCAAACTAGATACTTTTTGTAGTTGTAAAACCTAAAGTTTTGACGCTCATATTAATAAAATAAGTTGAATATCTCCCTCAACCACAAAGATTCATTAAGAAGAATAAATAAACAAACATTCTTACCTCAAAATTTCTATAATTAGCAAAGTTGGGTCCTGCTTTTCCAATAAAGAGTGTTGATCCAGGTTCAAAATCTAATTGTTCCACACGTCTACGATATTCCAAAGACTGATATTCCTTGCAATTCACAAATAGCGTAATTTCATCACCTTCCACACGGACACCTAACTTTGTCCATTTTCCAGCAATGGAGTCTATGGTAAATTCAGCTATCACTAATGGCACTTCTTGAAATTTAGTATTTGGTGTGTAATATAATTTGACCGTTTGGCGCTGACTGTCACTATGTGATGTCACACTTAATCCAAAAGTGATGATAGTCTGAAACGGATTCACCACAGCGAATAGGAAGCCTCCACTACGTTGATCGAATCTCACTGTAGTTCGGATGGCAAAGTCCTTAAATAATGGGCGTTTAAAAAATGTCTGTGCTGTGCGCCTTATATCAGCCCCAGCTTTAAGTTCAAAGGATGGGTAGCCCTGGGTACCTGTAGCATACTGTATATTTGGGTTATTTTTATTGGGTATTCCTATAGCTGGTAATAGATCTATACTTTGTGAATCATCAGAATCTGAAATATAAAAATAGAATAACATTATTTTCTATATTATTATTGGAACTAGATGAATCTAATTTGTACATCCTGCTTTTCTACCCAACTCAGGTTCAATTCCGGTCTATGTAGCTTAATGTTTATCGGTTTAACAATGAACCTCCTGGACAATCAGCACCAGCACAATCTGGTGAGAAATTAACACTATCATACGAATAATCAAAAGGGATGCAAAGTTGTATGAAAGTTGATGCAATGTGTTTTAATTTGTAAATAGTGCCCATTATGTAATTGTATTCAAAACTTTTTTGGAGATCAATTACAATAGTACGTATATTTCCATCACTTTATTCACAAAATAGGTGTTGTTTCTTTCTTACCAGTCAAATTGCTTCTACCATGTCATCTGCATGTGTATTTTTAAGATATATTCATGAATTTTTGGAATTATCTAAAATTTTATCTAAAAATTCTTCTGATATAATGCATGAAAACATAGCCTACTAATATTCAATAGTGATTTATTTAGTAAAGTTATATAATATATCAATCATTTTCTACTGAACAATTTTAAGTTCTTAAGCACATCAAATTCAAATTATTTTTAATGTGTCCTTAAACTTAAATTTGATTGTCCTAATGTTAATATATAGTTCTTTAACAATAAAAAAAACATGAGTCATAGACCTAGACTGCCATGAGAAGTTTTTTAGCAATTTCTGGCATTTTTGTCGGAAGAACAGGAAAACTCCAACATAAGTTTTAGTTTAAGATTCAACCTTTAACCTCAATTTATATATGAGTAAATATTATTGGCTAAATTTGACAGAGGTGAACATTATTTTAACACCATATTAACACTGTTTTGTGTATATTATAATAATATATAATCATATGGTCTGTATTATTTCTATCCAGTCCCTCTACTTCCGTATATCTGGCATTCATATTTTTTCTGACTGTTATTTTTGTATGACCTACATAAAAACTCTATAAAAATGCTAAATTTGAACATTTTTATCATTATGTTTCTTGCCACACACATTCCAGAAATGAAATGAGAGTTCAACCCAAGAAATACCTGCCGTTTTGCTATTAAGACAAGCAACACCATGCAGTGTGCAATTAGAAAAAGTTATCCAAAAGTCTGTGATGGTTTCACGAATAAATTCTTCTCTTATATTATTGCATCAGTTTATGTGCTGACACCTTTAGTTAGTCAGACTTGACTGGCATTATTATCAAAATCAAGTACAGCATAAGAATTCTAGTGGTCAAAAATGTACTCCTTGTATGAAATATATTTTTCTATACTTTAAGGTCTGATAAATCACCAGACAGTGTTTTTAAACATTATTGTTTTATTACAGCTTTTAAGATATTATACTTTACATCAAATTCAAAGACTTGAGATTTATCAAAAGAATATATCCACTTTCATGTAAAGTAAAGCAACTAACAATGTGGGTTTCATTAAATTTAAAATGACGTCAAACACGACATTAAATGCATGTTTCTTTTCGAAAAGGTCAAATTAAAAATAGCCTTTTTTTCACTTAATCTCTTACGTACTATAGAACATATCTGATACATACTGAGAGTTCAACAAACTCCAAATTATAACAAAATACTAATTTTATGTGTCTGATTGCAATCATGAAGTCAGAGTTCAGCAGTTTATCAGATTTAACTGCTGGAGTTTCAGTCAAGCTGGCCACAGTAATCACAAAAACTTGCTTACAGGTCTAATTGTTGTTTTTAAAGGAGCAGAAGCCTAAGGTATAAATGACAGGAAAACAGTGTTCAACAAGAACAACAAATATTTATTAAATGAACAAACACTTCTAATCAAACACTCATTGTCTGATCTTTATATAAAACCCTTAATAAACATCTTTTTTTTATAACATTATTGAGTTAAGGTTGACCAAACTTTATAATGACAATATGTCAAGTCTCACTTTAATTTTTGTAACATTTATTAACCTACATACTCTGAACAACTTGGAATATGTTGTCACAATTTTGTTCAAAGTTGACCAGGGACACAATCAGACAGCAATAGACTGCTAGGGATGTGATGATGTCACTCATACAAGGTGTTGCTTACTCAACCTTTTGGAGCACCTAATCTATCTCACAAACTTCCATTTCATGCCTGTGTTCACATTTACGAAGAAATTGTAAGTAGATATGTGTCCATTGGCTGGTTAGTAAATCACATGACATCAATGTCTATTACCCCAGTCCATGTTTTGAAATGTACCTACTAAAGTGAAACACAGTAGATGTTATAGATTTGGACGGGTTGAAAGCTTCAAATATTAAATTAAGGACACAATGAACAACCATTTTGAATCTGCAATTTGTATGTTTGTTTACTGAATTCACATCATGCAATAAGTTACACCTGACATTACACGCCATATAAAAACCTCAGTTTGTCCTTGTCATTCAACGTATTAATTAAATAACTTTCAGAATTTCAATGTTCTTCACTGACATTTTCCCTCATTTCATTTGTTTATTCAGTCATTTTTTTTTTTCAAACATAACACCATTGTGCCACCATATAAAAATGAAGTTTCTTTAAAACAGTTGTTAACCTTTTCTTAGTGCATTTTTTCTCTAGCTGATTTCTTTGGTAATCTTGAAGAAGCTTTGATTCTCCAAAGCAAAAGAGTGAGATGCATCACATGTCATGTCAATATGAACTAAGTCTTAAATCTTGTAGAATGTATAAAGATAATGAAACCAAATATAAATCAAACTAAGAGGATTATCCTGGCTAGAATATATGATTTCTGTTTGCATCATTCCTATTTATGCTATAACTAGGCTAATTATAGAAATACATAACCATTTATCACTATCTCAAAAACTGTTTATAATATCCAAGGGCCTTTACGATAACTACATCAAAAACCTTTTAATGGAATTGCAGAAACAACAGATGACTGAATAAAAATTGGAATGGCGCAATGAAATGAATGAAAACCTCTTTACTATCCCTTTAAGTATTGGCAATCAACTATAAATACATACACTGGAGCACTCATTCCATTTTTTTTTTTACTATTATCTCTTGAAATAAAGGCGGGAATCAGGTTTGAATTACCTCCCTTTCTAATACTCAACAGGAAGTAAGAGGCATTAAACTATCTAAACTTTCAATAAAATAAACCTGTTGAACTCTAATCATATACATAATGGAGGTTTAACTATTACAATATGCTGTAGTGTAATATATATTAGTAATTTCAGTCCTTCAAATGATGCAGACATGAAAATGTAATTGATGCCCATTATAGTAAAAAAAAGACAAAGTAATCTTTCTTGTCACAGCTGAATGACAGATCCCTGAAAACTGCTTGTCTGGTTGATAAGCTTTATAATAAGAGGTGTAGCCCTACAGAAAAGTGACAATCCAGTCCTTAACCATACTACAGTATGGTAGAGTCTTGAAAAAGGCAAATTTTCAAAATGGATAATTATGGATACACCAGGCAAAGAAGGTTAAAATTTATACAACAGAATATGATGAACATGGCCTTTAAAGGATTAATATAAGATTTATGACTATGTATAAAACTATATATTAGGTTTTCCATCTGGTGAAGGATGGAGCTGATTACAAACTAACAAACCATGAAATTACCTTTATCAACACAAATATCTTTATAATTTATAACTTTTCATTAATACTAGTATATCTTTATCAAGATTTACATGTTGGTATAGATATTATCTAATCTACAAGTTGAAATTAGTTATGGTATTTGATGCAGGCAAGAGATTTGATAAAATATGATTGGTCAATGACTAAAAGAAATTTTAACATTATATTGTATTAACCAAGCAGATGTCTTTTTTGTAAGGAAGAAAAAGAGAAAAGCAACAGACATATTTTTACAGGTATAACATCTGAGGTAGGTCCTCATGAAGTCAAAATGAACTGTTCTTATTTATGTTTGAATCAGACTCAGTTGTATGTAAACATCTTAGTCCAATCATAACACTTGAACATAGTCAGGATATGACATTGAGAAGTATCTGATTGCAAAGTTTAAATCAATTCAAATCATTGCAAAATATCCTACAATGTAAAGTGGTTAATTCCTTCTCCTATTAGTTTGTCTCAAGGTCAAACATTGTCTCTAATGACAACCATATTTGGTGACAATTCACTGAGAAGTTATAACTCCATAAATATATATATAGCCTGTTCATATAAAGCATGTTTATATATAGCCTGGTCATATAAAGCATGTTCATATAAAGCATGTTCATATAAAGCATGTTAATGTATATATAGCCATACATAGCCAATTCATATAAAGCAGCATATATAATGTCCAGTTATATCATAGTCCATATTCCACTTATTTTGTAATTTACTGCCCATGTGGCTTATTCTTTACCATCTAATTCTTAAATACATTTTGAACACACAAAATCTCATCAAAATAAATCTCCTAACTTTACTCAAGTAGCATCAAATTTTAATCCATCTCAAGTAGATTTTAATCTTAATTCCTACTTAACTCAATTAATCCCTACTTAAAATGATCATCTTTACTGTATAATAAATATGATAGATTGATAGACAAACAGATAACTTTGTGATGAATTGTTAAAGATGGTAGGAGAGAAAGAGAAAGAGGTAAAATCTGAAAAAATTCATTTCTTAAAGAAATATAAAATATACCATTGGTTTACCTAGAACTTCCTTCCTAGAAACAAAAAATATTCTAGTAAAGTGCAGTCAGTAAAGGATAAAAAAAGGACAATATTACTTCGGAGAGCTTTAATCACAGATAAATTTAACCCTAAGATTTAAAATAGCAACATTTCTACTTCAATCTGTATTTTATTTGATCATTGTAAGACCTTTAGAGTTAAATTTAAAACAAGAATAGCAACTGTATTAGTAATAATAGTAGAATTTGAAAGGTGACTCAATAATTGAATATATTGTATGCCAAATATCTCTCA